AATTTAAAATAAATATTATACTACGAAAAGTCCCTAGTCTAATACATTAATCTTTTCTCTAACCTCGTTACATATTTAATGCAATTCACTTAATGGTAAAGGACAAAAATGGAAACCATTAAAGCTAATACCACACAGTCAGTTTCATTACACAACACACAATGTTACTTCAACGACTAACCTCACCATTCATAATACTGAACCTCGTGCAAAAAAAGAATTTCCAATTATAGTCAATTAAATACCATTTAACACACTCCTCATAAGTACACACTGAATCGTGTTCGTCTCCAAAGTATCGATCATATGCCTGAAAAGAAATAATAACGAGAATGAAACTTCGGATTAAACTACTTTTGCCAATTTAGTACAGAACGATATACCATGACCGTAAAAGCTTGAGAGACACTGGGCCAGTGTTTCGACCATGAAACCGCTCATCGTGAGTCGCGTGGCGTGCTTGGTAGGAATTGTTTATCGCGATTCGTAACGGCTGCGTGCACGTTTCACTTTCAATGAATTCGCCTTTCGTCGCTGGTCGCGCCGGTTTCCAGAAACGATGTCAACCGTCCTCATCGGTACACGCGATCGCAGCGCCACGTTCGTTAAGGGGAGTCCTCACGATTCACCGACGCTCAACTTTCCTCCAACTAATTGCACCCCGCTAATTGACTGGAATTGATCGATGTTGGTCGCGATTTTTAGCACAGGATGTGTTGGACGATTTTATTCGGCACGTCGCGTAGATAATTTCGTGATCGTGTTTCACGGCTCGTTCCCCATTCCCATCGATTCGTCGAGTGGTCCTATTGGCCAATTGGAATTCGAGCATGTAATTGTTCCGTCAACGAGGGAGAGTTATGTTGAAATACGAAGTGCGAGTTAAGAAGATTTATGGATGTTTCTTGATCCAGGGATTTTTATCGGCGAAAAATGGATTTAAAGATATTAAATATTGTTTTACATTACTATGGTTCTTAAAATAAAAATGATAAAAAATTATATATCGTTTTTTAATATTTATAATAGATTATATCACTAGATAAAATTTTTTGTCACTTTTTGGAAAAGGTTTTAACTATTATAATACATTCCTTAATAAAAATATTGGAATAAAATACTCTAAATAAATAATTTATAACAAAATATTTAGTAATTACAAATAAAATATCCCAATCATTTTTATTTCTATTTTTACTGTATTTTCAGTTTTTCTTGTATTTTTTAAATCTCGTTTAGAGACTATATAAAAGTTTATTTATATAGAACTTTATATTGGTTTCTAAATGAGCACAAACGTTATAATTATTACCTTTACCTTAACGCTTTATTAAGGTAAATGGAACACTTTGCTCTGATTATTCCATGTTACAATCATGGGAAATAGGTTATTAAATAATCCTGTGTTACAGAACCATTTGCATATAATCAGAGTACACGTGTGAGTTGTGAACTCTGTGAGACAGTTCTCTCGTTTCTTTCATGTATTCTTCGCGAGATTGTAAAAGAGAAACAAACAACGTTCTTTACTCACTGAAGACATTTCATTCAAGTTTTCCAAAAATCTATTATTTTCTATTATTTTCAGTTTTATATCACGTAAGTACCAAAATTTGTACGAACACCGAACAAGGATTGAGTCATTCAGAGGCCAAAGTAATTAATTCCACTTCTTGATATTTTATTAAAATTTCGATCTCAGAGCATTTGATACAAATTTCAATATATTTCAAACTAAATTTCAATTTCCTGTTTTATGGAGTTAAACGGTTTGGCAAAAGAAGAGCTCAATTGTCGAATTATAAAATTAATCTCAAATTCTACGAACTGCGAAATTTTTTAATAGGTTGTAAACTATGGAACGAAATAAATTTCGGGAAACAAGGAAGGGAAATAAATCGATGGAAGAATTTTGAAAATCGAAGGAAATTAGGATCAGACGTTGGGTTGATTATTGAAATCGTAAATTAGTGTCGCGACTAGATAATCGAGTGTGTGGTAATTAGTTGTCCGTTCGATGAAGTACTCACGTGGTTGTCTCGTGTTTCGAAAGAAAAGTCACTCGGTCGAGGAGACATGGTGCGAGACAGCGCATTGGCTCTGTTTGCGCTTGTTAATCAGTTCAATTGAATAACGTATTAATACGTCGGGGTCATCGTAAGGGGTTAATCGCAATGTCCACGCCGGACATGATGGACACCATCGATGAAGCGGAGCAGGCGTGGCGTGAGTATGATTAAGAGTTTAGAACATCCTTATTGTATTCTTTGCTTATTCTATGAGATTGAATCTGAATTTTTGATGTAAAAATTGTTTAATTCGAAACTTTATGTTTCACTGAAAATTATAATCGAATAACTTTGGAACGATATTTTGATGTGATATATTATGTTTTTTTTCAAAAATATAATTATATTTTCTTTAAGCTCAGATTTTAAATTATATTGAATAAACAAATATTGAAAATTATAATTCATTAATAAGGTAACAATATTTAAGTGTAAAATACTTCAATATATATTTTTTCAATGTAACTTAAAATCTGAACCTAAAGAAAATATAATTATTTTTTAAAAAAATATAACTTTGGTACGATATTTTGTTGTGATATATTATATATATATATTTTTAAATATAATTTTATTTTCAAGTTATACTGAAAAAATATATATTAAAAATTATAATTCATTAATAAGGTAATAATATTTAAATGTGAAATACTTATTATATATTTTTTTATGAAATATGATAATTATATATTTTTTGAAGTTTGAAATTTTACATTTTATTAAAAATTGTAATATATACCATAGAAAGATATACAAGGTATTCTGATAAATGAACTGAGTGAAGAAAATTTTGCACTATTTAGAAAATACTATTATCCTATCGTTCTAATATTCTTTCTTTTTCGCGAATACAATAATGTATCTTCTTCTTTCTGTCTCGTTTTTTTTTTTTTTATTGAAATTTCATATTTTATATCACATAAATGGATATTGCTTCTTTAAAACAATTTTTTCCCTAATCTCATTTAAAATAGAACAAAGTTTTATCTGCGTTGAGTTACTAGAATCACTTTGTACATCGTATGCGCCAACCTAATGCACATAATAGACATGCATAAACATAAGCATGAATGAAGACATGTGTGTGTTCGTAAAGACAAATATCAAGGAAGATATAATGTAATTCGCGTCGTATCTATACATATACATACACAATACTTATATGTGTAAAATTCAGTGACCCAGTTCTCTATGTTTATTATGTGAGATAGTTCAAATGTCAATCTGTATCTTTGCATTTAATTTCAGCATCTTTTTCATTCGTTTGTGCACTACCTCTATTACCACTACTGAGACTATAAGGTTGAATAACAAGAAATTTTTTCGACAAATTGTTAATAACCGTATTAAGTAATTGATAATTATACGATTTATAAATTTTTTAGCTGTGCCATTTACAGAATTTTAGCGTAACTGAGTATTTTAATGATTAATGGCTAAAAGAAAAAGGGAAAATTGTGTCAATTAAAATGTCGAAGGAAATAGTAATTTTTTTGTCTTCCTAGGTAACATAATTACTAGAATAAAATTAGCATCTACGTATTTAATAGAATTTTTTAAAAATTGTGAAACATGTACTTTGAAAAAAAAAAAAAAGAAAAATCGACTTATTTGACCCTAGATAGTAGAAGACCCCCAAAACTTAACCCTTTGCACTCGAGAGGCACCCTTCAGTCGTCATTTGATATAATTTCGAAGATCGATATTAATTAATATGTCAAACTTAAGATAATGTAACGGTGTGCAGGATATGGAAATCAAATAGTTCTACATATTAATTACTATACACTTATTTACTGCTGGAAAAAATATCGTCAGCTTTATAGCAGATAATCTTTGAACCTCTACTCTTTTTTAGCTAAAAAATCATCTAGTGCAAAGGGTTAAAGTAGAACGTGAAACGCGATTTGGACCACAGTGGTATTAATCCTTTGCACTCGACAATTTTTTGGCTAGAGAAGAGTAGAAAATCAAAGATTCTCTATTAGAAAACTGACGATACTTTTTTGAGCAGTAAATAAAGAATAGTATAATAATAGAATTGTAGAATTATTTGATTTCGATACGTTACACACTGTTACATTACATTAAATTTGATACATTAATTACTATCGATCTTCCAAATTTGATGAAATGGTGACCGAGAATCACCTCTCGAGTGCAAAGGGTTGAATCAGTGGCTACCTTGCAATACCTGAAATCATCCTCGAGGAAGGGAAGAG